CCAAAAAAAAAAAAAAAACCGTATGGGAATCGCCGATTCTGTACAGTGAATCGGCGAGTCACTGTGCAGAATCGTCCGGTTCTCTCTAGAACCGGACGATTCCCGTTTTTTTCGCCAATTCGTTCCGTTCATGGCGATTCCCAAGTCGAACCGGGCGAGTCCGGTTCGACTCGGCGTTTTTTTAAACACTGGTCTAATGTATAAGGTGTGCCTGAAGAGTCATATTATATAATACTTGCAAAGAGCTCTTAGGGTCCTATTGTATAATATTTAAGTCGCTTTCCTTTGTTGTTCGTAGTTCATTGGGTCGGCAGGCCATGGCTTTTGTCCCGCTGCCATGGAGTATATGTAGTTGCAGAGGAGGCTCCAAGGCTGGAAGCTTGCACTGCATTTCTCCTCATCCTCCTCCTCCTGTTAAGAAGTATCGGTTTCCACGACCAAGGTGAGACGAGATTCTCTTAGTTTGTTCTTGTTTCCATTTTTATACTTGTTTTGTAGTGCCTTGTGGGATCGGTTTAGTTGCATGTTTAGCCTCTTTTGGCAGAAAGCACGATACTTGGCTTTTGCTTTAGCAAATATATAATATATCTAGTGGTGGTTTAAGAAAAATTGAATCGGAACGGTTAATTGGATATGGGTCAAAAGCCGTTCAACCGGCATAACTAGACAAGTCCCAGGTGATTAAAAAAATATTTAAAAAATATAAAATAGAAAAAACTTAATAAAATATGAACGATATATTAAAAGTATGATTAAACAATGCACATCCAAAAATAATTAAAAAATAGATTTTAAGAAATCCATTTTGTCTAGGGACATTTTTGATATTTTCAAGACATAGAAAAATATAAAAATAAATATTAATGGCCAAAGTAATTTCCAATCTTTGCCAAAGTGATAAATTACATTACAAACAAACAATTTTTTTGAGATTTTATATAATTTCTTTTAAAGTTTTTTAAACTACTCAACCGGCTCACCAAAACCGGCGGAAACCAGTGGCTAGTTCCGATCTAACCGGGTCTAACCGGGGAGTTAAAATTTTAAACCCCCAGATTTTGTTCAGGCCAAGTGCTCAACCCATACCTGAGTCCGAGTATATATATATATATATATATAGCGTAAAATCAAACAAAAGCATCACTCGTTCTCGGAATTAGCAAGGACGGCTAATCCTGGGTGACCGATAGCGAAGTAGTACCGGTTAAGTTAAATAGAACATTCAAGCGTACGCTTGGGAGGTTGATCTCTGACTGCGTGCATGCTTGTTGAAGGAAGAATGAGCGAGTCATAATTCAAACTAATAGGCGTGGAACATCTAACTGAGGTTAAAAAGTAGTGAAAAAAATGGAATTAAAAAAAATCAATTGGTGATGGGAGCATTGTAGAAATAATCCAAAAAGGAAAAAATATAAGAATATGTATTTATGGTTACAATACTTTCCAATCTTTGTCATAATGATAGAAAATAATTTTTTTAAAAAAAATATATTACTAATAAACTTTTTACCTTTTGAATTTTTTATAATTTTTAATTTTATCAAGATCCCCAAGTTGGACACCCAACTCGTGGATACTCCTAACTCGCCTAAGTAATGGAAAATTGGTCGAAAAGACTTTAGAAGATATATTTTCAATCTGAAATTTTGGAAACCATCTAAGAAATAAGAATTACTATATGATTATTTTCAAAAAAAATGTTTGAATTTTGAGTTTTTTTACACTTAGATTTCACCTTCCAAAAATTAGACAATCTTTATTCAATCTTAGTTTAGAGAGAGTGCAATTTCGATATTTTTTTATATTAAAGCTAGTCTTTACATCCGCATAATTTGATTTCTTAAAATTAATCCTGGAAAAGATTTTACCCAACTACAAGAGAGGAAATCTTCAGGAAAATGGAAAAATTCATAACAAAATTTTTAAAGATATTAATCCGAAAGACGTCTGGGTACCCCAATCACCATCTAAATCCAATTCCTTCTACGAATTTTGCAGCGGAGGTAAGTAACACACGTTGTGTTTTGGAGTTTGAAGAAGGGGAAGTACAATAAGAATAGCACCAGGCCGTCCTTACCAAGAAGAAAAGGCCCCATTTCCCACAAATGAATCTAACAATGTACGTTAGCAGCCGTGAGTGTCTCCTGCCCACAGGATTCGGTAAAATACCTAGTACCCATCCGTAGGGGTTGGCCGGCTGGCCTGCCCCAGGCCCTAAAAAGCTAGGGCCGCGCGACCACCGCCCGTGGGAGGACAGGGCTTGGGCCAATGCTGGCTGAGTTCTTCTTTTTTCCTTATTTTTTCCTTCCACTTTTTTTTTTTTTTTTTTGACCTGGCTTGGCCCAACTGGGCCTAGATTGGACCAGAGCCGGGCCTAGGCCACTGCATCTTTGGCTTTCGGATGAAGCTTGGATTGGCCCCATGGGGACTAGGGCTGGGCCAGGGCTAGGCCAAGGGCAAGGGCTAGCCAGGCCAAGTCCTAGCCCATTGCCACCTCTCCCCATTAGCTATGTGTATACCAAAGTTTGAAAAAATAGATAAGTGACCCTAATCGGCTACTCAGAAAACCGTATCGGATCGATCGATCGGTGATCCATTCAATCGACAGACCGACGATCTGGAATGGAGATCGACAAGATCGGCAAGAGCTGGCATTAAAAATATTTCAAAAAATCAATAGAATCACTTAAAAATCTAGTCTTTTAGGTTTCAAAAAGAAAAAGGGTATTGCATTATAACTTTTTATTATCTTACTAAAAATTCATAAATATTGAGAGCATGTATCATGTCTAAGTGTTTGTTATCCATTATATTCATTTTATAGGCAAAATAAGATTTAAATACAGCTCATTGCAATAAATAGATATCTCTAACTCAAAAATTTTATAGTAAAAGAAAAAAAGAATTGTACAAAATGGAACTTTTATAGTAAAAAATCTTCTTTACAAAACAATCTAATTGTTGGGCTTTTTAGAAAGAGAATCATATTTTAACACGGTACATTTGGGTTTGCACAGGTTTTTCACTTAATATGAAAGAAAAACATATTTCAATCAAGAGACCTATGGGGTTCACTTGAGTTTTTCGTTACGTTACATGGTCATTTAATCAAAGAGTGTGGTGTAAAGCGGCGAAAGAGCCCAAAGAAAATAGTTCTACATTGGGACTTCAAAGACTAAAACGTGTTTAAAAGCTTTATCCCCATTTTAAAATCCACATAGAGTTGAAGATGGCGTGGCCATGTGACGTGTGAAGCATTTGTTAGGCAAATAAAATAAAATGTGGGCCACACCGTACGTGGGCGGTGTTATACATTTCTTACCAAAAATACTTTCACTAAAAATAATTTTCATGTTCAAGGTGTATAACTGTCCAAAATTTATTGTTTACAATTATAAAATATTTTATCGTGTGCGCACCATAACATATATAGAACCCTTATAGGCGAAAATGGAAAGTGATTTTGTCTACCCTTATCACCATCCAAAAAAAAAATTTGAAAACTAAAAATAACAATTACATTAAAAAATATTTAGACCGTTTATTTTTAGTTGGACCACCTATTTGCATCCATCTTTAAAACGGATGCTTTATACCCATGGATCGCATGGTATAGTCATGCGATCAAGCCTGCATGAAACAATTGTTCTAAAACGAATATCTTATAACTCCTATAGTTAATTGTGCCATCAAATTGATGATGTTCATTATTGGGTTTGGGTTTCGTTTCTAATATTTATTCGTTTTACACATGAGAATAAATACGTGGTATTCTCCGGCGGCAGTATAAAACCTTTTGGCCAACTTAATAGCAAGTCTTGTAAGCATGGCTTTTCCGTTTGGAAAATGTTTTTATGTGACCCAGTAAGTTATATGCGACCCCACTTCTTAGCCGTTTGATTTTAAGATTGTTCATACTACAGTGTCACATCAAATATTATTTTATTTTTTATTATTTTTTACAAAACAGTTTTTTACAAAATTTTGGGCGTCCCATCAGAAAATTAGGGCAAACCTGAAAAAATATAAAAAATTCATTTTATGTAAAAATAGATGACCACATTGCCCCTAAAATTTTCAGGGATATTTTGGTAATTGTTCATAGCTAGAAATATTTTTTTAATGTGAGCTCTTGTTATATCTATGCATGCTCAAATTTTGCCTAAAATTTATTTGTAGGATAAAAATAAAAAATATAACATTATGAGCCATTTGATCAAGATCTAACGGTTCAGTGCTAACTTGAGACTTTGTGACTAAAGCCATCTCAGCTATCTACCTAGATATGATGGTTGATACCAGGGATCACATATGCCACATATGTAGGTGGGTTCACATAAAAAGCCATCCCATTGGTTTTTGGCTTGCAATAAAAGCATTGTTTTCTTTGGACGTAGGTGCGATTCGAGTAGTGTGAAGCCCCTCCTGTTGAGAACGGTATTGCTGGACAAGGCAAGCGACATTCTAACAAATATTTACAGAGACAGAGGGGAAAGCTATGGCACCATGCCCGTTGCTCGAGGTGCCCTTTCCGACCTCGTTGGTCGTCCATTGTTCCTCTCTCTATACGACTTCTTTCTCAAGGTCTCTCTCTACCCACCTTGTAAATAAAATAAAAGAGAAAAATTATATAGGTTTTGTTAGGCTACATCATTTGGTAGATTCTACCTTTAAAGTCTTCAACATATTTAAATACTTTGAATTGTAATACAGAATTTTTCAAGTAAGGACATTTTGGTCATTTAGAAGCGCAAATGTATATTTCTATAAAAAAATAGATTATTTTATTAGTAGTTAAAAAATAATTAATGTAGCTTGAGGGTGATATCATTATCCACTATTAGTAATAAATGTTTTTGTTTCTATTAAAAATTTCTATTTTACTCTTGACTAATTACTTAAAATACCCCTAGACAAAAAATTACTATAATATGATAAAGGTATCAAACTGTCAAAAAATGTTGAGGACTTTAAGGGGTCGTTTGGATACCCAGAAATTTATTGTTTGTGAAATATATTACTAGCGTAATACATTATTGCGTAATACATTACCTGTAAATGAATTGTTATTGTTTGGGTAGTATTTAGATGCAACCTGAGAAATACATTGCTATTGTTTGGCTATGTTTGGAAAAAACATAGGAAATACATTATCAACAGTTTACCCGCACAGGCCTATAAACTATCATTTCTTTTTTTTTAATCACAAAATTCCACTAAAGTGCAGAATTATCAGTTATGTCTTTTTTGTCACAAAATTCTACTAAAATATGGAATTAAAATCATCATCACACTATTCCAAAAATATTTCTAATAATAACATCATCACCATTCCAAAAAAATTTTCTAATAATAACTTGTACCATTTTACAATCATCATGACACTATTTCTTACTTATTTTACATACATTTGTCACTTACATGGAATCACATGTCTTTTAACATGACATTGGTTTCAACATGATAAGTCATTGGAACAATATGATTGGAATAACATAATTTTATTATGATAAGCCATATTTTTATTTATTTATTAAAGAATTTTTCAAATGTCTCTCTATATAATTTCAAATAAACAATAAATTTATGATACTAAATTCAAAATCTCTATGGTACGAATTAAAAAATAGGAAGAAGTTTGAGTAGTAAACTAGAAGGTTTAGTAATTGCATTATAAAATTTTGAAGTATTGGATGAGACTAAAATGTATGTTATTTCAATTGAGATTTTAATAATTTCTTATGAGAATTATTTTGTGTGAAATTTTATTATTATGATTGTGTAGTGTAATTTATCATTGATTATTAATTTTTATTTTTATTATTTTTGTTTTTTTATGATAACCAATGCCTTTAAATAAGGGGACGAGGTTAAAAATAGAGGGATCACCTATGCTAGTTATTATGAAGAAAAAGGGTTTACAAAGAGATGATTTTTTTAATCAAGATAGGGTAGACAACAACACACGCGAAAGATTTCCCAAAATTAACCATCACTCGTAATCTATACACCTCGAAGTGCAGCCTAATAAAACCCAATTTTATATTATTCATTTTATTTAGAAGAAGTAGATTTGACACTATCTTAAAGCCACACAACTTCTTTATATGGGAAAAGTTTCTATACTTTCCCTACAGCATAGAAGATCTATGCTTCCCCTACCATCCAGCCATCCAAATTTAATTGGGTGCACCTATAAAAAATATTAAAAATAATTTTTCGATAAAATATAATGGCCAAAATACCCCTTAGAACTTTCAAGGGTATTTTGGTCATTTCATTTTATTGAAAATATTTTCTTTATATTTTCGCTAGTGCGAGTTCAATAGAGGATTAGACATCAAAAATTTTGTGTCAAAATATTTTATAGACAAAAAATTAAAAATAAAATCTTGTAGAGACGTGACATTGTGATTGGGACAATCTTAGCCCTCTATTCAAAATGGATGGTTGGATAAGAGGAAGTATATAAGTTTTCTGCTCTAGGGAAAGGGGGCGGTTTGTATAGAGCCGAGGCTCTAAACAATCAAATTAGAGCCTACCTTCTAATAATGTCGAAAAATATCGTTTCAATACTGGAAATCTTTGTGATAGCCTTAAAATATATTTTCATTTTTATTTATAAAGTTTAAAGCTTCAAACATAGTGTAGATCGATAGATTTATAAAAACTTGAAAATCTTGAAAATTGACGGTCCAAAAATGTGTTACAAAATACACTATTTTCAAAACTTGAAATCCATTTTTTTCTCATGTCTATGCATCTTGATTTCGAAATGATCATTTTGATGATATTTTGGCATCAAAACAACCTCTTCTATTGAAATTTTTTAGGTAGGTTCAAATTTGATTGTTTAGAGCCTCGGATCTATACAAACTTTTCCCTTAGGGGAAACATAGAAAGCTTGCCCTTTTCATATTGTCTTAGAAGACATGTACCAATGTCCATCGTTTACCGGATTGCACCCTTACCCACGAAATTCCACTCTCCTCTAACTCACTCAAGTTCATAATTAAAATATAGAAAATTTTTCGTATAGAACCCTAATTTCTTGTATTATTTTATGATAGACCTTCTTTCTTTTTTTCTTTCAAGCGACATAAGAAAACTCCTAAAGATTTCACCATACCCCATCATCTTATACCTCCCTCATCATCTCTTACCTCCCCCTTTTGTTGACTTTTGACAATTAAAATAGTCCCAACAAATCTTTTTATACAATTTCAACCCAAAAACGTTTTTAACAGGTGGAGAAGGAAAAAGATGGTTAAAAATGTTTTTGAGATGAAATGGTATTAAAGGATTTGTTGGGGTAAATTTTTATAGTCAAAAGTCAATAAAAAGAGCAGATAAGAGATATGGAGGTATAGTGAGATCTTTAGGGATTTCCTCATGTCGCTTGAAAGAAAAAAGGAAAGAGGGTCTACCATAAAATAATATGAGGAACTAGAGTTCTATACGAAATTTTCCCTGAAATATATTGTCTTCCACAAATATGATTGCAACCTTATATAAATCTCACCTTAACGTAGTGTTGGGAAAATCCACACGGGCCGACTACTCAAATCCCCAGTCGAGTACTCGCCCGAGTTCGGATAACTCGGCCCCAGTATTGTAGCACCTGGAAATTAAAATAAAGAAAAAAATTTGAAAAAAAAAAAAGGAAAACTATTTTCGAAGTAAAATTTAATAAAACACAATTAATTGTGGCAAAAAAAGTAGCAATAAATAGATTTTTAAAAAATGAGTTTGTGACCGGGGGGTATTTTCAAAAAATTTCAAAAATGACAGTAAAATGTAAAAATAATTATTCAGGGTTCAGATACTTTCCAATTTTGCCAAAATGATAGAAAACATAAATAAATATGTTACAAATACATTTCTTTTTTTAGAATTTTTTATAATTTGTATATTTTTTTTTTAAGATTCCCTAATTGGACCTTCAACTTGGGCTCAGCAAAGGCTCGAGCCTGAGTAACTCGGCCGAGTAGAAACTACTCAGCTGACTTTTGCGAACGTTGTCTTAAAGTGAATGGCCCATAAATCTTTCCCTAAAACAATTAAAGTCCGACAGGTTTTTGGGATTTGGTCTCTCCCTCAACCATGTCCACCATGCGTTTATATTCTTTTGAATTTTTTTATTTTTTTTTTAAAAAGGAAAAATATTAACTCAATTTGGGTGGACCAATGTTTTAAAATCTGGCAAATTGTAATTCGAATCGTCGATCTAAATAAGAATCTGTTGGACCGAACCGATTCCAGAATGGTATAGGTCTTGGCACGGTTCCCTCCCTAAACACCTCTCTTGTACATTATTTAATTATTTTTAAGGTTATCTAAAGTTTTCTTAAGTCCCCTCCAAATACCCACATCATAAAACTTATTTTGATTTATTTATTTTTAATAATTTTTTGGATCACCGATTCCTGATGAATTTAGACACAATTTGCATCACCAATCTAATGATGCGACATAGATTCGAGGGTGAACTATCCACCCCACCGATCCGGGGTTTGCAACATGGGAAATGTTTTTATGCTTTCCCCACAGCATAGAAGTTCTATCCGCCCCTTACCATTTAGCCGTCCATTTTTTATCAACAGAGCCACTCACCGTTTAATCTTAGTTCCGGCATCTCAAAGTATTTTATTTTTAGTTTTTTTATACAAATTGTATGAGTATGAAATTTGGTACGTGCCATCTTCTCATTGGGGCGCACCTATAAAAAATATTTAAAATAAATTTTCGATAAAATATAATGACCAAAATACCCCTTGAAACTTCCAGGGGTATTTTGCTCATTTTGTTTTATTGAAAATATTTTTTTTATATATATTTTGCTAGTGTGAGTTTAATAGACGAATGGACGTCCAAAATTTGGTGTCAAAACAATTTATAGAAAAAAACTAAAAATAAAATAGTGTAGAGACGTGACATTGTGATTGGGGCAATCTTGGCCCTCCATTCAGAATGATTGGTTGGACATAACTTTTATGTTGTAGGAGAAGAATAGAAAGCTTGCCCTTGAAACACTAGGGGAAGACTATGTTTTGCCAAACTTATATGGTAACTTTGTGAGCCATGGGTCAAATCCCCTTGTTTGCAAATAAGTTGAGTCTCATTCGAGGGAGTTTGAGCGGAGAAACTCTCAAATGTCCATATTTAACATCTAACGGCTAGGACGTAATAGTCTCAACTGTAGAAACCTAGGTATTGACATAGAATCGTTACGAATAAAATGCAAATGATATCAATGATTAATGAATAGAAAAATTTTATATCAGGTTGCAACTTTATACTATAGAAGTAAGGTGCATATCAAAATCCAGTAAAAAAGAATGCGCCGAAGTTGGAAATTTCCAATTGATCATCTCGACTTCTAGATGTATGGATATAAATGAAAATGAATTTTAAGTCTAAAAAATAGTGTATCTTAAGACAAGTTATCTAGGCAATCTATTTTCAAGATTTCCAACTATTTATAGATCTGCTTGATCCACACCTTTTTTAGAATTTTAAAATTTATAACCATGGTGGAACATAGAGTCTGAAGCCATCATGAGATTAAGATATTGGAACTCCATCTTCCAATAAAATAGGTGCCTTGCAAGTAGGCACGTTATAGCAGTGTCTGAAAAATCAAACTGGAACGGTTAGCCGAAAATGAATAAAATTATGTTCATCAAAAGATATAATTTTAATAAGCGAAATATTTTGTTTCTAGAAGAATTGATTTATCAAAAACCCCTAAAATCAAACAACATTTTGAGCAAGAAATGACCCTCAATATTGAGATAATAAAAAAACTCAACACACAAGCATTTTAAAGGCTTCAATAATCTTTTAAATGCACCAAATCTCTTTAAAACATATTTGGTATATTTAATTTAGTTAAAAAATGGGGGTAATTTCAGATCTATGAAATTTTCATGACATCGTGCAACAAAAAAATTCATATAATTTTTTTTAATCAATCATAAATAGTCATACCTATTTTATTTGACAGATGAAACATTGATGATCAAAATCCACATTTGAATTTAATAAAAAAGACCAATAAATTAATAAAAAATCTGTTTTTATTTTATTTTATCGAACATAGGTTCTGTGAGCAGCAATTTAATTTTTTGAACAAATTGAAACATAAATATGGTAAATACTTCGATTATCTATCAAACCCCCCAAATTTCTTCAAGAACCATTAGGTATTGAAGAGATTATTGAATAAATGGCGGAAACTTTCAAAAACCTAAAAAATCCTTCATTTCAATTCAAAAAACTCTTTTTTTTTAATGTTTCAATCCAAATTCCTTGTTTTATATAATCTAGATAGTGACTTACAATAATAAAGCACAAAAAAGACAAAAAATGACACGAAAATGAATAAACACATTTGTTAATATCAGTTAACCGGTTTGATCAGCAGAAAACCGGCCGGTTAGACAAAAAAAAAGGTCGATTCGACCCCTAACCGGTTGGTTTTTGGCCCGACATTTTAGAGGGTGTACCCTATGCTACTATACACCCAAAACCAGCCTTAATCGGACCCATAGCCCTAACGATTCTGATCTAACCAACTCGTTCCGATTCTAACCGACCGGTTTCTCTCACACTACCTTATACAAACCTCACTCTTCGTGAATTAATCTGATTGCCGCCCAATAACTAATCGTCCAATATTTGGTGTTCCATGAAAAGCACCAACTGGTTTCACGTGGCCCACTCGAAAACGAAACGACCCTATATCTTAGATTCTGAAAAGATACATAAGTGATATTATTTGACAATAAGTTCTTTTGAAAATAAGATTTGAAAATTTTACAAAAAATATTTTTTGAATGGTTTCACGCGCCCACACGAAAAGCAAAAAACGACCCTCAATCTCACATTCTGAAAAGACACATCAATGATATCATTTGACAATAAGTTCTTTTGAAAATAAGATTTAAAAATTTTACCAAAATATATTTTGATTGAGATTGCTTGCTTGTGAATTAATTCATGGAAAAAACAGTTCTAGGCTTCATAGGAAAATAAGTTTATGAGTAAGTATAGCATGCTACCGCAGGAGTATAGTGTAGAACAACTCCCTCAGGTAAAATAGCTACTTGGGTTAAATTTTTTTATTTGAAACTTGGGATCCAAGTATCGCTAGATGAACGTTATCAATTTTTCTAATTTGAAAATTGGGATCCATCTAAGTAGCACTAGATGATCATTACCAAATAAAAGAATTAGAAAAATATCATTAAAGGGGACGAAACCTCTTAAAATAACATTTGAGGGCATACTTTTTTTTTTCCATTTCATTTATATACCACTTCAAAAAAAAAGGTCTTTTAAAATACCCAAATTACCCTTATTCAATATTTGAACAAAAAAAATGAGAGGCATTTCAGTAATTTGACCCCAAAAAGTCTTCACCCAAATGAAAAAAAAATGTCCCTAGTTGTTCTCCATTACAAAAAATATATATATGCTTTCTTCGGTATATGTAATGTGAAATAAACAGAGCTATTTTTATCATTCTGCACTTAAATACATTTCATATATAAATGACAAAAACAACCCTAGTACGATATGTTCTTTACTTGTAATATGGATCAACAAGGGGTATTTTGATCATTCAAGTGAAGCTTCATAGGTCAAATTACTGAAGTGTTCCCCATTGTTTTTCATTCCAAGATAAGGCTATTTTAGGTATTTATAAAAGAAGTTTTTTAAAGATGTATCAGAGTGAAACATAAAAGGAAACATATGCCCTCATATATAAATAGAGATGATTCTGATTCCATTAGTAAAAAGCTCCAAAAAGATCGCGCTCAAGGATTTGTCTTGAACACCTTCCTTCCCATAAACCTGTCAAGGGGGCCCGTCTCCAGTTTGATTCTCCTCAGACAAAGCAGGGGAGCCCTTAATGATATTTTAATAGGTTTCATCCTCTTTAATGATAATTTTTTTTAAATAATTAGATTTTCATGGGTGTGCTAAGTAATTAAAACATGTTTTGCCTAGAACTTTGAAGAATCTTCCATAAATAGGAATGGAGTTTGCTATTTATGGAGTAATAGGAATGGAGTTGGAGTTTGAGAGAGAGAGAGAGAGAGAGAGATTCTTCAATGAGAGTGGGATGAAGAATATTTGCACAAATAAGGACAATTATGTTTTTTTTTTAGACAGATAGAGAGAGGCATTCATAAAAATCACAATTAATATCACAAAACTAGTATAGAAAATCACAAAAAAAATACTATAAAAAATCATAATTACTATCACGAAATTAGTATAAAAAATAAGAAAAAACACTTTCCCCCTCATTTCTTCACTAGAAATCACAAAATGAGTAATCAAATTTTTGTAAAAAGATCATATCAAAATTAGTATAAAAACTTAGTCTTAGAATTAAGATAAATAGATATTCCGACAAGAAATGATGTCTCGATATTCACCTATTTTTATAAAATATTAGAAGTCCATTATATACTATCCCATTTTTTTGGGAATTCAATAAATAATATTTATAAGAATTCTAATAACTTTTTGAAATTTCTTTAAGTCCAATTGGGCTGATCAGAACTGGTTCTCGCGATGAACTATCTGGGTCACCGATCTGTTTTTTTTTTTTTAACATTAATTTGGGCTGAAGACCCACTTGGGATTTTCACACAAATTGATATTTTCTTGTTGAAGTTCGTTGATATTCATATTGTTGTTTTATTGATTGTAAGGAAATAGTTGCAAAGAATAACGACTTACTAAATTTAGCCCAATTCCGAGACTTATTAATGATGGCCCATTCTATGTGTGGATTTAATTGTTGCAAAGCTTCTTGCCTTGTGTGTGAATTAGAGCCATTTGTTAGAATAGAAATTAATTATTTTATCGACAAGAAATGAAAAGGTGTGATTTGTATAAGGTTGCAATATTAAACAATTAAAGCAAGTTGCACCACCAAATTTTATAATAAGATATAATTTTGGCGTAAAAAATTCTTAAGATCATCTGAGAACCCATTTTTGTATCGAATTATAAAATTTTAGACTAAAAAAATGGTTCAAATCAAGTAGATCTACAGACATATGAAAATCTTGAAAATGGACATTCTAAATAATATGTTGCAAGACACTATTTTTGAGACTCAATTCTTTTTTTCTTTTTTTTTTTCATATTTATAGGTAATCAATTATAGGGTTTTCCAACTTTAAAATAGCTTTTACCTTGGATTTGTCAAATGCACCTTAATTCTATAGTTTAAAGTTGCAACTTTATATAAATATTTTCAAGAAATGAATGTACCGCTCATTTTGTCTCTCTTAAATTTTCCTGCAGCATGGATTAGTATACAAGGTTTCATTTGGACCAAAAGCCTTTGTCATTGTGTCAGATCCCATTGTGGCTCGCCATATACTTCGTGAAAATATGTTTGGTTATGACAAGGTAAACTCTTTTTTCTTTTAAACACACTAAAATTTCATTTATTTTATGGGCTGTATTTCTTCTTTCTATTACTCTTTAGAATTATGAATATTCTATTATTTGTAAACATGACACACTAAGTTGTTTACTGAAGTTATATTTTTTCTTTTTTCTTTTTTTGTCTTAACCGTATAATAAACAACAATACCAATAGTGCTTTTCCCAAACAAGAGTGCTCTATTTCAGCCTGACATTAATCATAGCACTATGGCTCAAACATAATTTAGATTCTAGAGAAAGAGCATTAGTTGTAGCAAATTGGTTCAGATGTTGTATCGAGAATTTTGTGATTAGGATTTTTGAATTTGTTGAAAAACTTCATGAGGTAATATTGAGAGGGCCTCTGAGATGTACAAAATGGGTTTGGTAATAGATGGGGAAAATAGATAGCTAGATGGCTATTTGCATTTTTTATGTATCTTTATTAATGGTTTCCCAAAAGGCTGGTTTGAAAAAAAGTAAACTCACGTCTCGAAACCTCGTGCAGAAAACACTTAGGGCATGGAAAATATCTATGGTGGCTCTAAATTCAATGTCCACTACTGAACTAAAAAAGGTGCAAATCGTGAGGATCAATAGACACTTGAAAATTGACGGTCTAGATTATGTGCTATAATATACAATATTTTTATGGCTGGAAATCCTAATTTTTTCACAGCCATAATGTTCAAGGTCATAATTTTTTCACAGCCATATCAAAACTATAATTTTTGGTGAGCTTTGATGACCGTTTATCCATAAGGCCTGAGCTTTATTTTAACCTTTTCCAAAAGTTAATTGCAATATTGATGGAGGATCAAGAGCTTGAGAGCTTGGCCTTAGAGTGGGCTATGGGATGGATGAACTCCTAAGCAAGTATTTAGGTCCCCCAAAAAGGGCAATGGGGTAAATTCATTAAAAGATTCCACCTAAAATTGGCTTCTTGGATGACAAAGTTTCTTTATTGGAGGAAAGATCGCCTAATAAAATCCGCTCCTTCAAATCTCCTAGTATAGTCAATGGCCATCTTCTTTATGCCAAGGTCAATATTCAATAGTGATGGGTAGAAGGAGATGAAAAAGAAATTGTCAAACGTCCCAAATCTTGATGGGTAGTGTTGTTGGATTATATATCAAAGAAAGCGAAGGGTTTTCTAGAATGATTGAGAATAGCTCTTTTTTTTCTTCATATGTTCTTATGGCTATGAAACCATGTTTTATAAAGAGATGAAAGGAAACTATTCTCCAACGTTCGGCTTTCTTTCTTAGAATCTCTAAGAAGTGACTCTCAATTTCTAAGAGATAGGAGAATTATTCACAATCTATTAGATTAGAGATTAAAATATCTCTAAATTATTTTTTAAAAAATAATAATTATATAAAATATTTTTATAAAAATATTAATTAGATAAATAAAAAAATATATGGTAAATATAAGGCCCCATGACCACATATGTACCAATATCTCCCACTTGACCACGAGAGCTGAATATATAAATATCTATTAAAGTTTGTACCGCTTAAGGGATTTAACCTTTATGAGCATATTTTTGTCATGAAGTTGTTATATACCAGTACAATTATATGTCTCATGATCCAAAAATTATCCAAGGTCTTGTCATGGGTTTTTTTATGCTAATGTGGCTTTCCTCTCATGACCAAGAAGTTCCTAAGTCCCATTAAAGTTACGTGCTTTGAAATATTTAAGCACTTAGTCCTTTTGTCAAACGGTCTGCAATTATACCCATTGATGGTAAATAACTCACAGTCATCTTATTCTTTTCAATTATTATGATAGTCAATTTAATGGACTTGCCTTGGAGCTATAACCTCCATTTCTAATTAATTGGCAGCCTAATTATCACAAAAAATGTTAATTGGTCGGTAGGCTCTATCTAGCTTCAAATCTTTTATAAAGCGTATATTCTAAATGCTATAAAGTAGTAGCAATGCTGTAAGCAATATACTCAGCTTCCATAATATGTCGAGCTGCACAACTTTGTTTCTTGCTTGACAAAAAAACACATTCGAAGAGGAATTCATGTCCTGAGATTGATTTTCTATCATCTGGGTCTCTTGCAAAGTTTGCCTCGGAGTACTCAATAACCTATAAACTTTCAGCTTAAAAGGTAAAGTAATTGTAGTTATTGTGTTATGAAAGGGAAAGTACCACTGCATAGAAGGCTATGTTAGACAATATAATGATTTCTTAAATTTGTATACTTGATCGTTTTGCCCTTTAATTACATATCCTTTTAGTTGCTTCATATAAATATCTTTTTTAAATTCTCAAATCAAGAAAGCGGTTTTAAAATCTATTTGAAATAATTCTAAATTATGCAACTAATACCAGGATAATCTTAATATATGAAAATTTGGTTAGAAAATAAGTTATACATAATCTATACCCTTCCTTTGGGTAAATCTCTTAGCTACCAATCTAGCTTTATACTTTTCTATGGATCCATTTGCATTAAGCTTTTTTTTTAGATCTATTTGCAACTAATGATTTTTCTATCCACACTTGATTCCTTTTAATATAATCAATTTAATTATTCATGGCTAATATCCACTCAGTTGAGTCATGTAAGCTAGTACTTCATTGCAGCTTTGAGATTCATCTATGTTATCCTCACTTCTTAGAGAATAATTATATTCATTCATGATTACACAAAATTCCTATAATGTAGTAGATGGGAATCTAGTTCTTTCATGTTAATCTGGTAAACTATATTATAATGAACCATTCTCTCCAATTGTAGACCGAGACTGAGTAATAGGGTCTTTTATCTTTATCAATTTCATATAAGTCAATAGGCTCTTAATGTATATTCATAATCAATATTTTATAAAAAATGAGCATCACGACTCTGTACTAAGGATGTAGTATCATGGTTATAAAATCTGTACCTTTTAAAATTTTATAAATAACCTGTAAATGAGTATTTAATAGTTTTATTTTATAGGTTATCTTTATTTTGTGGTAGTATGAGTACATGTGTCCAAGAATCCTAAATTTTAAAAATACTAATTCCCAGTTTCCTACCAGTCCATAACTCATAAGGAATCAAGTCTATGGCTTTAATTGGAACACAATTAATAATATATGTTGCAATGTTGAGAACCTTACTCCTAAAATAAGGTGATAAATCTGAATGACTCATCATAGACCTAACCATATCCATTAGAGTTTCATTTCTTCTTTTAGCTACACCATAATATTATGATGTATATGGCATAGTATTTTGGTAAATTACAGCATGCTCCTTATAAAACTCGATAAGTAAATTAGAGCACCATTCATCACCCCTATTTGTTCTAAGGATTTTAATATGCATTTCTAGCTAATTTTCTACCTTAACTTTATATTTTTAAAATGTTTCTAACACATTTGATTGCTTACTAATTAACTATATATACCCATAACGAGAATAAGTATTTAAAAATGTTATGATATATTCCATAACTCTATGTGTTTTTATATTTATGGCCTATATATATCAAAGGTTTCTTAGCTAATTAAACATAAATATGATGCATCTGCAAAATACATGGCTCACATGTTTTGAAAACAATTTCCCTTAACTTGAAAAGTAAGCATCTCTTAACCATTTTGTTCTTTTTATCTTTATTTACGTGTCCCAATCTTAAATGTCGTAAATACAAATATGAGCATCAAATTAAGCACCCATATAACCAGAACAAGGGGAATTTTCATTAATATTCAATCGATACAAATAGTTAAGTTTAGTATAATACACAAATGCTCGACGATGTTTACCAATGGTGATACAACCAGAAGTGAACCATAACGCATATCCTTTGTCGTCTAGCTTTGGAACAGGAATCAAATGCAATAAAGTATTAGTAAGTAGGACATTCATTTTCCTAGGTTGACACAACTTGTAAATACCGACGTCAAGCATATTATAATTATCATTCTCCATATAAATCCATTGGTTACTAGTTGTGATCTCCCTCAATTTTGTGAATCTATCATTGGTCCTTGAAACATGTCATGTGGAAGCTGAGTCGACCTGCTATTTCTTCAAGTCATGGTCAACAACCAATGATTTTGATATTATATAAATCAAGTCATATATTGTTATTTTGAGTATTGTTGTTATTCTAGTTCCTATTTTTATTTTTCAGCTTAAGACAAGTAACTTTGATGTGTAAATTCATGTACAATAAAAAAATGTCTTATCAATGTGCTTCCTTTATTTTTAAATATTTCGATATTTCCCTTGTTTCTATTGTTATTGCTCTCATTATTATTAAGTTTCATGGGATTTTGGGGAAAAAGAATTTTGAGCAAATTAGAGCTCATTTGACTTTTTTCTCATTCTTCTCTTTAGTTTCATTGTTGAGGTGCACGAGAAGATTCAACATAATCATCTATTGTGCAGAGTGATTCAAAGCAATCATAATTCTCAAGATGGATAGAGATTGTTTAGGACAATGGACATTTGCATGTGATCAGAGCTAGATTCCCATGCATTGTAATTTTGTTGACATGCTCGGTCATGGAGTCTATTTCTTTCATCCTACAACTATTATACTTTTCAAGTAGGAGTTGGACATGGGTCTCAAAAGTAGTCTCATACTTCTCAAATAGGGTATCCATCATACTTTGAGCTATAGCAAAAGATTAAAGAAAGCAGAGACACATTATCCACTTGCAAACCCCAGTCACCTCCACTGCTTTCCCAGCCACCTTCACCTGTTGCAAACCCCAGCCTTCTACACCTCCTCCAAGCTAAGCCTTCACCATTTTGCAAGGTTATCTTTGCTCAAAGCCGCCTTCATTGCTGCTCAAAGGCACTGGTTGTAACCCCTTTGCTTTCCTCAAACACAACGGCAACCACCGGAGTGCATTGAGGGCAGCGATTTTTTAGCAGATTTCAGCGTTTCTTCCTTGGATATGAGTTTTCTTATCAGCTCTGAGCTTTCCTTAGATTTATCATTTTGTTTCCTTTTTATTCCCTTTGTTTCTCCCTTCTTTTTTTTTTTCCCCTCTCCTCTTTTGTTTCTACTGTTTCTTTTGTTTCTTTTATCATTTTTCTCTAAGCTTTCTTCCTCTTTGTTTTCTCCTACCTTAGGTTTTTCTCGCTCTTCTTCTTTCATCCCTCTCCCGTCTTTCTTTTCTCTCCCTTCTCTACCCCTTTCCTTTCTCTGTTCTCTTTTTGTTTGAGTTTCCAGGGAGTGAGAAAGAGCTAGACAGAGAGAGAACTCCTTGGTGATTGGTTGAGGATGGGGATCCCTCTCCCCCTCCCCTGCCCCTTTCTTCCTCCTTTCATTTTTCATCTTTTCTCTCCATTTCCATCCTCTCTCTTGTGCCATCTCTTTCATCCCTCGTTTTCGTCTTGGCTTCTGCCTTCTTCTTGACCCCTCTCTTTTTGTCCTTGTCTCATCCTCCCTAACTAGTTTAATGCCTAAGTTGGGGTGTGCCCTTGGCTTTGGCACCATGTCGTGGATTTCCTTAGGTCCTCAGGGTTTCTTCTACGGATTGGAAAATCCTTGTATTAAGCTACTATAGGTTAACGCTTAAGATGAGACTTTTCATTGGGAACCTTGTCGCGGAGGTTGGAGTTCCTTTGGGGCTCTAATTTTCTTGTTTGTGGCCTAGTAGAATTTTGGGGAGATGACTATGATTCTCTCACCTCTTTCGTGCTTCTCTTGGTCCTCTCATGTCCTTACTCAAGCATTTTTTTTTCTTTGGCCTCCTTTCCTGCTCTTTTCCCTCTTTATCTTTTTTGTCCTTTTGATGGGCCACGGTTTCAGTAGTAGTACCCTAACTGCAGACTGGTGTAGGTTGTTGGTTGTCACGACTATGTGGAGATCGTTGATAGGGATGCACACTCTTTGGGCTACTTGTTGGAAGTTGGAGCTTGGAAGTTTTGTTTTGAGAAGTTGAGGCTTTTGTGAGTTTTGTTTGGATCAGTTGGTACCTGTAAATCTGGTGTAAGATTGGTGTGGGTTTTGGGTTTGGTGTGTTCTAGGAGTTAGGTTTGGTCAATCTTGGATCTAGGGAGTGCTCCTCCCTATTTCTTCATCTTGTACTTTTGTATTTAGGAACTTTACTCCACCATCTAATAAATATTACTATTACCATTTTCAAAAAAAGAAGAGACACTGTCTTTTTAATAGAGAGAGAGAGAGAGAGAGAGAGAGAGAGAGAGAGAACGACCTACTTACTAAT